TGGGTTGGCTTGTCCAGCCTCCTCCAGATTTGTGAGCGCAGGGAGTGTCAAGAACACAGAATCTGGTATCCATGGAAAAACAAAGTAGACCTCCCTGAGCATTTTCTCTTCTCTCCCCTCCTCCCAGCAAAACACGGCATGTGAACATTCTCCTCTTCATGGGGTACATGACAAAGGACAACTTGGCAATTGTGACCCAGTGGTGCGAGGGCAGCAGCCTCTACAAACACCTGCATGTCCAGGAGACCAAGTTTCAGATGTTCCAGCTAATTGACATTGCCCGGCAGACGGCTCAGGGAATGGAGTAAGTGGATGGCCTGATGGCTTTCTCTAAGGCCCAAGCATCAACTTGTTCCTGAATCGGAGCCAGGATCAGGAAAAGTCTTTTAGTCCATTAAGTGATTCTATGATATCTTGGCACAGCTAAAAACGAGCCTCTGGGCTGGGCTGGAGGAGATCAGTTAGCCAGAATTGAACGTTCAGGTTCTTCACTCAAGCAAGGCTGCCCCATTGGGGCTCAAAATCAGCCTCCAGCTGCCACCCTCAATTCATTCAGAGACCTGAGAACATGGTCAAGGGCAGATACTTTCTTGGATGTCTGTGGTAATGCCCTCAGATGTATGAGGCAAGCCCATCCACAGGGTGTTTGTTCCACATGAAGGTTTGACCAGTGTCACTTTGTGGGTAATTTTCCTTTTAAATTTAAAATTTATTTTCCTTTTTAAATACTGCCCCTCTGGGTTCCTGCTTGACACATTCCTCGGTGAAAAGTGTGTGTGTGTGTGTGTTCCTTTCCTAGCTAGCCCAGGGCAGGGCTTCCCAGACTTTCTCTAAAGTATCCTCATGGAAGAGGAGCAGGAGCCCCTCATACCCCCAAGTGTCTTTGAGCTGCTAAGCTAAAGCTGTATTTGTAAGTGCTATATAAGTTCTCATGTTCTATCTTTAAAATTAACATGGAAGTTGCATTCTGTATATTTTAAGAAATAAGTAGCCAGAATGACCTTCTAGAAACACTTTATTGGGATAATTCACATACCATAAAATACACTTTTTTTTTTTTAAATTAGAGACAGGGTCTCACTATGTTGCCCAGGCTGGTCTCGAACTCCTGACCTCAAGTGTTCCTCCAACCTCAGCCTCTCAAAGTGCTGGGATTACAGGTGTGAGACACTGCACATAGCCAAAGGCTTCACTTCTTAGGTGTAGTTTGAAACTGCTTTCTATCCACATCCTTCAAACTGTTTTTAATAGATATATTTTTCCTTCACAGCTATTTGCATGCAAAGAATATCATTCACAGAGACATGAAGTCCAACAGTATCCTTTGGTGGTGGTTGTTTCATTTGATTGTTCAGTTTGAAATTTAGGGCAACAGAAGGAAATCTTTTTATCACAAGTGGTTCTTGATGCCAGGGAGTATCTTTTTATGAAAAGAGGGGAAGAACAGGAAGAAACAGACATCAGAAAGTTTGTTCTGAGAAACACAATTCTAAGGTACACCTTAGGACTGGCGTGCCCTTGAGCAGCTTCTGCCTCACCTGCACTGTGAGGGGTGAGGCTTATCTCAGCAAAAATGATCTGGAAAGATTTCTACAAGAGTTGAGGTGTACATGTTTGGGTTAAGCTTGAGATAGGCATAATTTCACCACTCTGTTTATTAGTAAATTTAGCTTGGGGGGGGCAGGCTTTTGTCTTTTATGTTTATTTCTAGTTTGTGACAGAAACTATAAGCCAAATGTTCCAGGATTTCCCAAATTACTAATTAAAATTGTCTTTCTTGAATGTTACATAAGTGGTTTCCTTAGAGATAGATCACTGTTGGAAACAATCTCTTTCCCTTTCCAAGACTTAATTTTGACTTTTATGGTACTTTTTGTGCTGTAAGGCATGAACTTGACTGATTTTGGAAGGGGGTATGGCATTACAGCCGAACTTTGCTTCTTGGCCAGTAAGAGGCATAATAGTTGTGTTGAGTTGGATCATGGGACATGGCCTATTTTGGATACATGTCTGAGGTATGAACATCTTTTGAGGGTGGGGTTTTTGGCAGCCAGGTATTATACCATGAAAATATATACCACAGACTTAAGGAGGTGTGAATTCCTGGGCACCAGCAGGTCAGAGCTGGACTTAATGTACCTGACTTCTTTACCTAGAAGTGAGCTGACTTTGTCACTTTGAAGTCACTAAGTGGTACCAATTCTAGTGAGAAATTTCTTATGACAACATTCACTCAGTAAGGAATTTGCTGTTTTGTCAGCCACTCATGTTTCAGTTGGTCATTTGAGAGCAGAATACAGGCAAAAACAAATGTAAGCTAGCTATCAGCAGGCTCAAACTCTTAGGAAGTACCAGAGCGTGGTCTTTGTCTTTGGAGTTGCAGGCACCTACGTTATCTGGGAAGGTCACAAGGCCAGGAACTCGGCACCTAAGATGTGAGGAAAAGAAGTAGGGAAAAAAACTTTGGCTTGTTTTTAGCTGGGGCAAATCATCTGGCACACTGAGCAATCCCTGCCTGCCTCCAGGAAAAGAGGACATTTCAAAAACACTTTTAAAAGCTTTAGAAACCTTAGCAAATTCAGTGCAGAGTGGGCTGGGACAGAAGAAAGGTAGGAGATTACTTTGTTATAAAAAACTTCGAGAAGTTTTTCAAAATTAACTTGACTATTCTTTTGAAGCCAGAGTCCTTAACAGGCATTGAGATATATTTCTCCATGAAGGCCTAACGGTAAAAATTGGAGATTTTGGTTTGGCAACCGTCAAGTCGCGCTGGAGTGGCTCTCAGCAGGTTGAACAGCCCACCGGATCCATCTTGTGGATGGTGAGGAATCTGGGTTCCCACTAGCATATTCTCGTTCAGGGGAAAAGGAACACCCTGGAGCTCTCTGTGCAAACTTATATGTCCCACAAATTCCAGATGACCCTTGCTGTCAACCAGTCTGGGGCCAATGTGGGTTTCCTTGAGGGGTCTGGAGGTAGAACCATTCTGAAGTTATGTGGATAGGTTGGCAAGCTGGGTGATGGAAGTGCTGGATCCTGCTCAGAGGCCAGGATTCCTGAGCTGCCTTCAGTCAGTGCCTGAGAGCTGGTACGTTATACCAGCACATGTGTTGCAGAAGAGCTTTCTGGGGGCTGAGGAATGGACTCTCCTAACTAACGGAAGGCACAGCCTGGTCCCAGGACTTCTGTGGGGCCCATCACGTAGTGATTAATGCACCTTGTCCCCGTAGGCCCCAGAGGTGATCCGAATGCAGGATAACAACCCGTTCAGTTTCCAGTCCGATGTCTACTCCTATGGCATTGTACTGTACGAGCTGATGACAGGGGAGCTCCCTTACTCCCACATCAATAACCGAGACCAGGTGAGTGTGCTGGTGCTTAAGGCCCCAACTCATAGGAGCCATGGGCCTCCTGCCAGCCTACGCAGTGAGAGGGCTGGCATTGTTACTTTCCATTATTCATCCCTCCATCTGTCCATCTGCTCAGCTGCTTTCTTTCCCTTAGATCATCTTCATGGTGGGCCGAGGGTATGCTTCCCCAGATCTTAGTAAGCTATACAAGAACTGCCCCAAAGCAATGAAGAGGCTGGTAGCTGACTGTGTGAAGAAAGTGAAGGAAGAGAGGCCTCTTTTCCCCCAGGTAAGACTTAGCTCAGGGCTGCTTGAATTGGACTAGTTAAAGCAGGAATTCTGAATGGTAGCATCTTGTGGAAGGTATTTTGTTTCCTAAGGGGGGGACCCAAGTCAGCCACAGCTCATGAGACTGTTGTGGGGCCTTTGTTTCAGATCCTGTCTTCCATTGAGCTGCTCCAGCACTCCCTACCGAAGATCAACCGGAGCGCCTCTGAGCCATCCCTGCATCGGGCGGCCCACACTGAGGATATCAATGCTTGCACGCTGACCACATCCCCAAGACTGCCTGCCTTCTAGTTGACTGCGCACCTGCACTCAGGCCATCGGGGAGGAAGAGAAGTCAGCAGGCACTTTTCTGCTCCCTTTCTACGGGGGCAGAATGCATGTTTTCAGAGAAGCTGCTACTAAGGACCTTCTAGACTGCTCACAGGGCCTTAACTTCATGTTGCCTTCTTTTCTACCCTTGGCCCTGGAAGAAGGAAGCCATTCACGATGCTGGTCAGTCCCGCCCCCCCATCCCCCATGCTCAGGGTCCCGCCTTCTCCAGAGGCACAATTGGATGCCAATGGTGATACAAAAGCTGGGGCCTCAGGTGCTGGCTAGGTGAGTATTTTTAGGGAAGGAAAGGTAGCAGGCAGTCCAGCCCTGATGTGGGACACGTGGGACTTTGGACGTCAGCTTCGGGGGGAATGCTTCTTACAGGAGGGACTTTCCTTCAGTTAGTGGTGCAGCGCCAGACATTTGCACAGAATGCACCAAACAGCCCAGGACTGCCGAAACTCCGGCTGCCCGAAGGAGCCTGCTTTGGTACTGTGGAACTTTACTTAGGGGACTTGTCCTCTTTTCACAGCCTCTGAGGTGTCATTATATCGGGATAGTCTTCCAGCAAGGCGCTTGGCCTGCCCTCCCCGTCTCAGCCCTCTCAGGAAGCAGTCTTCCGTCATGCTGAATCTCATCTTCCAAGAGCTGCCCCCATGGGGCGGGGCCACAGGGCCAGCCTTGTCTCTAGTCACATCATGTGTATGCAAGGAACGCAGGAACACAGGTTTTCTTGATGATTTGGGTTTTAATTTTGTTTTTATTGCGCCTGACAAAATACAGTCATCTGATGGTTCCTCAATTATGTTATTTTAATAAAATAAATTAAATTTAGGTTTAATGGCTGTTGCTCTTTGAAAGTAATACTGAACTCCCAGCTTGAGCTCTAAATTTGTTTATATCCTTCTGGAGCAGAACTCAAGCAGCAGGACACGGGCCCAGAGCCTGGACTGGGAATGAATTTAATTTAGTCTTTGTCTATGCTCTTTGTAATCCTTTACTGAAGAGTTAACTATAGAAACTAAGCAAAAAGCACTCTAAACTCAGGTAAGAGGTTAAGTAATGCATTTTATAAAATATTTGGTGTCTACAGCTTTTTTAAAAAAACAAAAATAGATAAATTCAGGCTTGGAGTGAGTTTATTCTGATAAAGTTGTGCTCGCCCTTCAAATTGACTACAGAAACTTGCCCTTAGTTCTCTTCAGGACCGCTGCTGGGTCAAAATCAGAAATGGTGGGTGCCAGGAAATCTTAACAACACTTCAAATCAAAGCCTGGCTTTACAGAGAAGAGACTGCTTGAGTGTAAATCACGCATTGTACCAGCAGGTGTGTATTGAAAGTCTGCAGTACGGGTGAGAGCAGGGACTTGGTTTCCCTGGAGGTCCCTGGCTGGAGATACATGCAGTAGGACTTGTGAGCTCCAGGCCCCCAGACACAAGGGCCTCCCTACCAGGGAAAAGATCTCTTTGCACTTTTACTTTGCTGCACAAATGGCAACAAGACTGCTGCCGACTTGGGACACTTGAAAGAGCTCAAAAGACTGTCCTTAAGCCCTACGTAAAATTTCATGCTACAGCTGTATGATGCTTACTGTACATTGTGTGCTCTGGACAAGCTCTGTATAAATCAAAATTTTTGCCACACTAGGTATTTAATAGAAAAATCTGCTATAGAAGAATCCTCTCAATTCACCATTGAATTCACCGAATCCTTTGGTAAGAAAATGTATCTGCTGCATTAGGAACAGGTGCAAGTTTACTGTTTCAGAGAAAAAGATCAGGAAGGACAGGAGCTGGGATAGTTTTTAAAGCAGTCAATCAAAATGCTCTGAGTGGTTAGCTGGTCCCCCTGAAGGGGCCTGAAGTGTAACTAAGGTAGCGACTATGATTATCTGAAGCAATTCCGTACATGTAGTAGGTTACTGTATACACTTCACTCTTCCCATGGCTGTAATAACGGAGAGTGGCTAAGATCAAGGGTAAGTACAACCCCACTCAAATCCACACAGCACACCACCGCAGACTGCAGTACAGGGAAGCTCTGCACACCCTGGCTTGGGACAGTATCAGCCGGTGGAGCCCAAGATGCAGAGGTGACTATCTCCTTCTAGGGTTCTGACGACTCCACTCCAGAAAGATGCATGAAGAGGTCCCCAAGCTCTGTCATGTCAGCGTCCTCAGAGTTAGGGACATGCTGGCTTTCTCGGTTCTCGATGAAGTCCCAGAGCCGCACTGAATTAAAGAACTGCAAAAAGAGCAAACATGTCTGGTTACTGCCAAAGGCAACAGGAAGGGTGGGTGGCTTGATTTTTCTTTTGCCCACCCTCACTTTTCTGTGAAAACTTTAGAGAGGGGGCCAGGAATGGTACCCAGAAGTGCCCCCCAGCTCAGTGTCCCCGACTAGAGATGGCGATGTCCTTACCCTCACGGTGCCTTCAGAACTCAGCTGTTTCCGCGGCTTCTCGGGCTCGGCTAGCCGCCCATCAGGGTAAGCATGGCGGTACAGGCATTTGCTTCCAAATGGGCAGGTCCCCTTGCCCTGCTCAAAGTATTTACAAGCTTTTTTCCTGAAAAGCAGAAAAGGCCGGTGGGAGAATGTGGAGTACAGACGGGCCCACTGCCTTCCTCCATCCTCACCGGTGATGCCAGGGGTAGGTCAGCCTCGCGTTACAGGTAGGGAAACAGGTTAAATGACATCTCCGGTCGTACATAGCTGGGTTCTGATTTCCAAGCTGGCTAATATCCCCACTGACGTGCAGCCCCGCACAGGATGTCGGTAAACCTGTTGGGCACTGGCTGTGTGGAACCTCCAGGCAGCCCCTGTACCTCCCAGGCCACCAGGCGGCAGCCAGAGAGCTAAGCCAGGCCTATCACACCTCTGGGCACCAAGGTCTGAAGCTGAGCCACTTGCCTCCACCCCGAGTTCCCAAAGTCCTCCACTCAGGTTTTCCTCCTGGCTGGCACTGCTGTCTGGTGACTACAGGATACTGGGGTGTAGGAGTCACAGGGAAAGCAGTGTATTTTGGCAGGTGGCTACAGCTACAGGGCTCATTCCAGTTTCCCTTTGCCCACCCTCTAGGGCAGAGCTTCTTAACTCTTCACATGCTTTGGACCTCTTTTCAAGGCAGTGTTTTTTGGGTTTTCCATACCCCATGGGTAGTGTGCCAATGTAGAGGGTTGAAGGAGCACATCAGCATAAACACCCAATTGGAACACTTAGGAACACTATGCCTGTCAGGGTATAGGACAGTGTTTATAAATGCTTAAAACACACATCTGTAGAATATAGTTATCACAAAGTTCAGAATGTTCCCCTTTCCAAAGAACCCTGCTCCTGAGGAAACTCTCAGTCAAATAAAGAATTCCCATTTTTTTCTTGCTCAAATGCAATATGGCTCATCCAATCATAAGTGACCCCAAACTGAGATGCCCAAAAAACCAGGGGGACCTGGGAAGACTGGAGGAAAGGGAAAGTTGTAGAAACAAAGCCAAATCCCAGCAGCAAGGGCAGGCTGAAGGGGCAGCTGGGGTCTGTGACAGTGGTAGGTGACAAGAATGGGGGAGAGGTGGAGATTCCTGACCCCAGTGGTTTAGTTGTGTCTTCTCAGATCACGGGAGGTTGCAGGCCAGTGGTGAAGCTCTCTGAACAGACTTCAGAGCAGCATAAAGAGCTCCCTGATGGCTTCGCACACAGGCAGCTGAGAAGTGGCTTCCAGCAGAGCAGCTGTGTGGAGTGACTGCTCTCACCAGAGTTACTAGACAGCTCCAGGGCATCCCAGGGCACTTGCTAGTAGACTCATCAGGTTAAAATAAATGATTCTCTAGTCCCACTTCTGTGATCACTGTTCTTTATCTCCCCTCACCCCTATTTGGTCACCAAAGCCAAATGCCTCCAGGTCACTCTGACTCCCTCTTTGCGCTCAGCTCTCGCATCCAACCATGTTACTTCTGTTTCCAAACCACCTCCTCAAATCTACCTGTCCTTTCGGTTCCCACACTGGTAATGCTGTCAGGTCGCATCCTCTGCTGACCACCTGCTGTTTCTTAATTGGCCTCCCTCCAACCTCCTTCAACAGTTTCCAATGTTTTCACAGCACAGAAGAGCTACTTTTGTTTTTTTTTTTTTGTGTAGGAGTTTCGCTGTTGCCCAGGCTGCTGGAGTGCAGTGGCACACTCAGGGCCATGGCAGCCTCAGCTACTGGGCTCAGGTGATCCGCCTCAGCCTTCCAAGTAGCTGGAACCACAGACACACACCACCACACCTAGCCAATGTTTTGATTTATTGTAGAGATGAAGTGCAACCCGTTCTTAAAGACAGGTCAGAGGCCAGACATTGTGGCTCATACCTGCACTTTGGGTGGTGGAGGTGAGAGGACTGCCTGAGTCCAGGGGTTCAAGACCAGCCTGGGCAACTTGGTGAGACCTCATCTCTACAGTAAATTAAAAAATTAGCTGGGCATGGTGGTGTGTGTCTGTGGTTCCAGCTACTTGGAAGGCTGAGGTGGAAGGATCGCCGGAGCCCAGCAGGTCAAGGCTCCGGTGGCCGGGAGCGGCCACTGCACTCTAGTCTGGGCGACAGTGAGACTCCAACTCAAAAAAAAAAGAAGGAAACTGGTCACTAGGATCCAGGGTTCCCTTGGACTCCAGTCTGTCTTTTTCCCTGTAGGTCCCACCACACACATCCTTCTACACACCTTTTTTTTTTTTGAGTAGGAGTCTCACTATCACTCAGGCTGGAGTGCAGTGACATGCTCATAGCCACTGCAGCCTCGACCTGCTGGGCTCCACGCCCAACTAATTTTTTTTATCTATCGTAGAGACAAGATCTCACCAAATTGCCCAGGTTAGTCTCGAACCCACAGGCTCAGGCAATTCTCTCGCCTCCACCACTCAAAGTGCTGGGATTACATGTGTGAGCCACCGTGCTCAGCTTACACACCTAATTCAACCCCAAGAACCATTCCCACTGCCCTCAGACAAAACACCTGCACCCTTCGGTGCCCATATCCTTCTGCCCCTCCCCACACAGATAGACTCTTCCTGTGTCATGGCTCAGGGTCCCTGTACTGCTCCCCTGCATTTCCAGGTGGATTCACATGCTTTCTCTATGGCTTGAGCCTCTCATGAAGAATTTGTCACCAGAAAACCTGTATCATAATTGCCCTTTTGCAATTTTCCACAAAATTATCTTACTAATCTCTACAATCCCCGTGGTGCTTAGCTTGAAGGTGGCTGGCACTCAGTAAATGTTTGTGGGATGCGTAAAAAACACAGCCCTCAAAGGAAAGCAAAGCCAGGAATGATTCCAACAGTAATAATATGAGAATCTTCAGACTACTCAGCAGAGCTCCTTTCTACAGGCTGGGACCCCTCAGCCTTGCCAAGCCTGCCATCTTGTGGACACACAGTTAAGATCACCACATAAGGAAAAATGGTAAAAAGGGAATATGAGACATAAAGGAACCATTTAAAAAGGTAACATACAAGCCGGGCTCGGTGGCTCAGCCTGTAATCCCGTGCTCAGCCTGTAATCCCGTGCTCAGCCTGTAATCCCGTGCTCAGCCTGTAATCTCGCGCCTTTGGGAGGCTGAGGTGAGTGGATTGCTTGAGCCCGCGGGTTCGAGACCCGCCTGGGCAGCAAGACCTCATCTCTACAATAAATCAAAAAATCAGCCGGGCGTGGTAGCGCACCCTGTAGTTCCGGCTACTCGGAAGGCGGAAGGATGGCCAGAGCCCAGCAGGTCGAGGCTGCGGTGGCCGGGAGCGCCCACGGCACTCCAGTCTGGGCGACAGAGCGAGATTCCAACTCAAAAAACAAAAATAAAAAAGGTAACATACAGTCTCACCTTTAGTAGGGTAAAGTAATCTTCTACTAGACCTGAACTTTCTGCAGATAACTATAAATACAAATTTTTTTTTTAAAACCTGAAGGCACTGGAGAATGAGCAAAAGTAGGATGATTCTTCAGAGGAGTAACGTAAGGAAGAATGGAATGGCCAGGGTATTCCTGGCCTTTTTAAAAATAGATTTTAGCTGAGAGTAGGCCAAAGTCTGCACCATGCAGGGTGGCTATAATTCCAGTGGGAAATCTCGTCTGTCTGGCCTTAAGAACCGAGAGATGAATGTGAAGAAATCACAGCCATTGGAAAGCGAGGAAACAATCTCACAAAGAAAGGGGCCTGAGAAGGAATGCGCAGAGGCCATGTATTAAATCTGCCCAAATCTCACATGAATGTAGCAGGCTCAAAGCAATTCACTCAAGAATAGTATAAAAACTGAACAGATTTGAACTGCAGAGCTGCCTGAGTTTGAGTTAAAACAATTCACCTGCCTGTTAAAAACATCAACACTTTACAGACCAATCCAACAGAATCCAGAGTCTTCACAATGTAACATTTACAATGTCAAGGATAAAATCTAAAATTGCTAGACATGAAGAATTGGGAGACCTATTCTCAAAAGACAATAGAGACCAACTTCAAAATGAAAAGAATTTCAAAGCAGCTACTGTAAGTATGTTCAAGGAAATTAACAGAAAAGGAAAAAAGATTGGAAAAAAAAATGAACAGAACCCTAGAGGCCTAAGGGATGATATCAAAAAGTCGATGTGGAATCAGAGTTTCAGCAGAAGAAAAAAAACAGAGTGGGAAAAAAAATTGATGAAACAATGGCCAAAATTTCCCTAAAATTTGGTAAATGACATAAACTTAGAGATTCAGGTAATATTGAGCAGTATAACAGGAAAAACATCAAAATGCTGAAAAAGGGAAAATTCTGAACGCAACCCAAGAAAAATGACACATTATAAATGAAATTACCACTGAGTTATCAGAGACTACAGCTGCCAGATTATAGTAGCAGGACATCTGCCAAGTGCTAAAAGAAGAAAAAAAGTTCGCCTCAGCCTTTTCTTTATTTTTGAGTCAGTCTCACTCTGTCGTCCAGGCTGGAGTGCAGTGGCACGTTCATGGCTCACCAAAGCCTTGGCTTCCTGGACTCAGGTGATCTTTCTGCCTCAGCCTCCTGAGTAGCTGAGACTACAGGTGCACACCACCACTCCCAGCTATGTCTTACTATGCTGTCCACACTGGTTTTGAACTCCAGGGCTCAAGTGATCCTCCTGCCTCAGCCTCCCAGAGTACTGGGATTATAGGTGTAAGCCACCATGCCTGACCTACTAGACCAATATATTCCATGAAAATATCCTTCAGGCCGGGTGTGGTGGCTCACTCTGACTCAAAAAAAGAAAAAGTTGAGTTGAAAGGGCTGGGAAGCCCTTTGGGAGGCGGAGGTGAGAGGATGCCTAAGCCCTGGCGCTCGAGACCAGCCTGGGCAATTAACTTGGTGAGACCTTGTTTCTATAGTAAATCAGCAACAAAAAAAATTAGCTGGGCGTGGTGGTGTGCACCTGTGGTTCCGGCTACTGGGAAGGCTGAGGCGGAAGGATCGCCGGAGCCCAGCGGGTCGAGGCTGCGGTGGCCGGGAGCGGCCGCTGCACTCCAGTCTAGGCGAGAGCGAGACTCCGACTCAAAAAAACAACAACAAAACCCTATGATGGCTTCCCATCTCATTCAGAATAAAGAGCTTCATCCCCTAGGAACCTACAAAGCTCTACACAACTGCTCCTCGCCCTGCCCCACCAGCCCTGTCTTCATCTCCACTCACCCTCTCCTCCAGCTACTTTGTGCCATTCTTCAAACAATCCAGACACACTCCTGGCTCAGACTCTTTGCAGTGACTGTTCCCTCCATTTGCTCGTTGCCTCACCTCCTCTGAGTCTTTGCTCACAGACGACCTCATGGAGGCATTCCAGGGCCTCCCACACTGAATGCAGCCCTCCTTCCTTTCTAGTCCCTGGCCCCTGGCTTCACATCCATCCTGAGCCCTGATCACCATCCCATACATGCTTTCCTTGTTTAGCTTATTTGTCCCTTATTATTCTTATTTGTTATTTTCCTTCCCTAGAACATGTGCTGTGTGAGGGCTCGGATTCTTTAGTGCTTTATCCCCAGCACTAAAAAGGGCCTATTATAAAGGAGGATCCTCAACAGATAGCTGCTGACCAAACGAATGATCACAGACACCAAGTTGACCTTTGCCCCAAAAACCAGGGTTCCTAGGGAACGCTGCTCAGCACAGAAACTAAACAAGCTCACATCACTATGCCCTTGCTCACTGCTGCATCACAGAGCTCAGCCTAGTGCCTGAGAGAAGGATGAGGCCCCAAGACCACATTCCCGGGAGGGAGGGGGAGGCCGGAAGGTGAGGACACACACCACCAGCAGAGTCAGGCACCATGTGCACATCTAAGCTCAAAGCACTTACCCCATTCCCTGTTTGAAAGCTTCAATCAACTCGTTCTTTTTATTCTGATCTTCCACCCAATACACACTCGGAATTACAAATTCTGATATTACACGGCATTCTGGACAAGACCTGAAATAAGAATTAGGTTAGTAAGGAACAGATCACGTTATAAATCCTAGGCACACTCAGCTACACCCTTGTGCAAATGCATGACCACCACATGCATTTCCTTAACCAGGAATTTCAAAAAACTAAATCACAATTACCTAAGAACCTTATTTACTATTAAAAAACAGGGTTTTCTCAATAATAAGACAGATAACTCAGTTTTAAAATGTGCAAAGGATCTGAGTAGGCATTTCTCCAAAATGGTCAATAAGCATATCAAAGGATGTTCTAGTATCATTAGTTATCAGGGAAATGCATATCAAGACAGCAGGATATCAATTCACATCCACTAGGATGGCTAAAATTAGAAATAAAGACAAAATAAGTGTTGGAGAGGAAGTGGAGAAATAACCCTCATACACTGCTGGAGGGAATATAAAACGGTGCAGTCACTTTGAAAAACAGTCTGGCAACATAAAACCCAGCAATTCCACTCCTAGGTATATACCCAAGAGAAATAGAAACATAGGTCCACCCAAAAAACTTGTATACAATGTTCACAGCAGCATTACTCATAATAACTAAAAAGTGGAAACGGCCGGGCACAGTAGCTCACGCCTATAATCCCAGCACTTCGGGAGGCCAAGGGGAGAGGACTGCCTGAGCCCAAGGGTTCGAGACTGGCTTGGCAAGACCTCACCTCTACAATAAATCAAAAAATTAACCAGGCTTGGTGGCGCACACCTATAGTCCCAGCCACTTGGAAGGCTGAAGCAGAAGGATCGCCGGAGCCCAGCAGGTCGAGACTGCGGTGGCCGGGAGCAGCCACTGCACTCCAGCCTGGGTGACAGAGTGAGACTCCGACTCAAAAAAAAAAAGCAGAAACAACTCAAATGTCCACCAGCTGAAGAATGGATAAACAAAATGTGGTCTGTCCATTCAATGGAATGTTAGCCAAGACACGAATGATATACTGACACACACTGTCATCAGGATGCACTAAGAAACATTATGCTAAGTAAAAGTGGTCAGTCACAAAGGCCATATATTACATGATTCCATTTATACTAAGTGTCCAGAATAGGCAGCTCTATAGAGTCAGAAGCTAGATTAGTAGAGTGCTAAATCGTGCACTTTTGTCTCAATGAAGCTGCTATTTTATCATGCAATGTGTGATTTTAAGCAAGTGACTTGACCTCACCACCCTCAGTCTCCTTATCTGTAAATGAGGAGGATCTTTGAGAAAATAATGCAAGCTGAGGAGTGAGAAGAGTTCCTAGCAGTACAAAGCATGCCGCCCCCTCTCAATGAGTTAGTCCTCCCTTGTCCTACTGGAGAGCACATCCTATGGACTGGGATTATGCAGAATGTTTTATACACATTACTTCCATTTAATCCTCAAATAATCCTACTTCTGTTTTTTTTGTTTGTTTGTTTGTTTTGAGTTGGAGTCTCACTCTGTCGCCCAGACTGGAGTGCAGCTGAGGTCTCACCAAGTTGCCCAGGTGGGTCTCGAACCCGTGGCCTCAGGCAATCCACTCACCTCAGCCTCCCAAAGCGCAGGATTACAGGCTGAGCCATGGAGCCCGGCTCCTACTTCTGTTTTAAGTGGGAAAAAAAATGAAGCTCAAAAAGGTTAATTGGCAGTTGGACTACAGGCAATTACTAGTTAGTACTAGATTTAAATGCAAATTTAGATAACAGGCCAGTGGCATTTTTAAACACCTTTTTGCAGAGATGATATCTGATGGGTTTCCCAACACCTTAAAAGCTTGGTAGAAATTATTACCTATCTTTCATAGCAACAGGCACGTGGACTTAGGAAGATTAAGTGATTTGCCCGAATTCATGCAGCCAAGGGCCTGGATTCACCAGTGACTGTGCATTAAAACAACTCTGGAGGGCAAGGAAAGGCTTAAAAGATGGAAGAAGGTCCCAAATCAAACATTCTCCCAGCTTCTGTAGGTAAGACCACTGACTATACTTACTTAATGATTGGGTTTTCAAACTGCTTGGCACACCGCCACTGCCGGATACAGGACAGGCAGTACGTGTGATTGCAGTTGGAGAGAATCCCAAATCTCCTCTCAGACGCAGAGGCCTTCTCCAGGATCACTTCCATGCAGATACTGCACACTTTGTCCTGACTTGCCTGGAAGGCAAAGGCCTTTTCCATCTCATGTTCAAAGGTTGACATGCAGATCTAAAGTACAGACAGGAAGGAGGGGTCACCAAGGAGCGGTGAGAGGCTGGGAGTAGCTGCAGCCACACTGCCACAGCTGAGATCAGGAAGGAACCCTGACAGCGGCTGCTAAGTTCAGCCCCTAAATTCAGAACACCAAGATCTCTCTCAGACCACATATAGCACTTCAAAACAGCAATCGTCCAGTCCTTTGCTTTCCCTAGTACGACATGGTCACCTCCAATTTAGAGTCTAGACCAAAGGGATCCAAAAAGGTTAAGAGGACGAGCGGAGGGTTGCAGAGTCCATAGGAACTGAGACCCCCATCTCCCTGCTTCTCTGGGCACTGACTTCCATGACTGCCACGCCAACATCAGAAATAAACATCAGAAAAAGCTGACTCATACTTAACATGAGGCTGGCAGCCCAGTCACAGGTAAGCCGATAATTTCATGAATTCTTCCATTCACTAGGTGTGCCCTGAATTTCTTCTATGTGCCAGCATTTGAAGAAACGTAAAGAGTGAGAAGACCTAGGCCCAGCCTTTGGGAGCTCAGTGTGCCCAGATCTGAGAGAGGCCAAAACTCATAGCACAAAGACCCTCACACACTTGCATACAGAAGAAAGCTCTAACCCCCTGCTTTCCTGGGAAAGCGATGGAAGTAGCTCCTCCCCCATCAGCACCCAGAGCCAGCACTGATTCAACCCTCGTTTCCCTGGGATACACTGTCCACATGCATTAGGCAATCCCTCCTGGAGAGAGAATCCTTCTCCAACAGGGGTGGCCAGCACAATTTGGTCCCTTCTCAGGATTTACCCCTAACCTAAAGTTACCAGGTCTCTGACACTGTAACCAGAAGTTTCTCCCTGTCTCTTATCCAGCTTCATATTCCCGTACTGAGCACAGAGTCTAGCATGAGCCAGAGTCTCCTAAACTCGACAGACATTAATTAATGACTGTAAAGGGTCATTTCAACACTTGGCTCCTCAGATTCTATGATTGGGCTCCTCAAATCATCCAAAATTCAGTTTAGCTGGATCCTAGCCACAATGATTGGATGGGAGGGAGACTGTATTTTTATTTGTGTCTGTGTATATGTCAGAGGGAGAGAGAGAGAGAGAGAGAGAACGAGAGAGAGAGAGAGAGAGAGAGAGAGAGAGAGAGAGAGAGAGAGAGAGAGACATCATGTTCCTTAGCTAGATCTGTTCTTTGAACTTTGCATTGTTTTATGTTTCTAATGCCTTGTCTACTTCTCTTTATTCTAAATAATCAAATATTGACAAAATGACAACAGGAAAAAGAAAATAGTATGTAAATATGCCAGGTACATAATGTGGGTACTACTGGCAGGAAGATGCCAGTAGAAATATCATGATTCTGTCACTTTGCACATTTCAGAGTTCTTCTTTTTCACTTCTCTCTCTCCCTTTTAAAAATTTTTTTTGGTTTTCAATGTCCTGTTTAGAACATTTCAGATTTCTTAAAATGAGTTCATGGAAAGGTTTGCAGTGTTACCTTCTCGTGAGCCTTCCTCTGCTCTGGGTCGAAGGGATGCAGGACTTGCAGCCTACAGATTTCACACACTTCCCCATGCAGGTAGACACAGGCATCCCCAAATCGGCACTCCCCCGCGGCTGCATAGGGACACAGCTGCTGCTCGCTGCTGAAGGAGCTGCTGGCCTCCAGGTCATCAAGGCCACTCCTGATGGCATCAAGGTAGGAATGCGGCTTCATCTCTGGGCTGGACTGGGGGTCACTGCAGCTGCCTGGATTACTCACCATGCTCAGGTAAGTCTTTTCTTCAGCTATGCCAGAGAGATCTGAATACAAAACACACATTACACATGCACATGATAACTGGTCTAGTCTTTCTGGTAAGCTGTTAATCCAAACCTAGCAAACGAAGCAACTGTGACCTAAGGAATCCCACTCTTGAGAACATATAGCAAAAAACAGGCCAAAAGAGAAACATAAAAGGAACAGTATAAAATGTTCATAGTGACATCACTTTTTTTTTTAAAAGTCAGGGTCTCACTCTGTTGCCCAGACTAGAGTGTAGTGTCACAATCACAGCTCACCTCAGTCTCAAACTCCTGTGCTCAAGCGACCTTCTCACCTCAGCCTCCTGAGTAGCTAGCTATAGCTGGGATTACACACACGCAGCACCATATCGAGCTTTTTTTTGTTGGTAGAGATGATGTCTCACTATATTGCCTAGGCTGGTCAATATTACTCATAATACTTAAATCAGAAAACATAAATGGCAAGACAGGAAGACAGCAAAACAGAACACAATATATTTATACATAAGAACACTAAAGTTGCTGTTTTAAAATGGCAAATATGAAAATGTCAACACATGACCCAGCTAACATTAAAACAAGCAAACTCAAAAACATTCAGTTAGGCCAGGTGTGGTGGCTCAAGCCTGTGATCCCAGCACTTTGGGAGACCGAGGCAAAGAGGATTACCTGAGACTAGGGGTTTGAGACCAGCCTGGGTAACCTGGCAAGACCTCATCTTACAATAAAATCAAAAAATTAGCTGGGCATGGTAATGTGCACCCATAGTTCCAGCTACTTGAAAGGTTGAGGAGGAAGGATCGCCGGAGCCCAGTAGGTCGAGGCTGCGGTGGCCATGAGTGTGCCACTGCACTCCAGTCTGAGCAACAGAGCGAGACTCCAACTCAACGAAAAAATTCAGTCAAAGGGAATTTAGAATGAGTCAACTGAATATCGTGGTTTCTTTATACCAGTAAAGTCACCTATCATTTTAAAGTGAACTAGAATAAAAGCCTAGAGCAAATCCATGGGTCCTGATGCCAGTGTTAAATTGCCCTATGGCAACCCCCTTCTCACACCAGGACCTGCCGCCTTCCTGTCGCACACACTTCCAAAAATGTTAGAGGCAAAATACTTCACTGGATTTCTTGTTTGCTGACGATGGAATCTGCCCATCTTACCGTGCATAATTCCAAGAACTAGAAATCTCTTCTAGATTTGAGGACCGGCCAGTAAAAACAATGTTTACAATTTGTAGCTTTCTTCCACCTCAAATCCTGTTTCGGGGCACAGACCACATACCAAACACCAGCACACTATTCTGTTCCCAAAGGTGCAATCTAAAATATCAAATGTTGGTCAGTATAAGAGCTAAGAGGCGGGGCTCGGTGGATCAGCCTGTAATCCCAGCACTTTGGGAGGCTGAGGCGAGTGGATTGCCTAAGTCAGCAGGTTCGAGACCAGCCCAGGAAACTTGGTGAGACCTCATCTTTACAATAAATAAAAAAATTAGCCAGGCATGATAGCGCACACCTATAGTTCCAGCTGCTTGGAAGGCTGAGGCAGAAGGATTGCTGGCACCCAGCAGGTTGGTAGCCACGAGTATGCCAGCCTGGGTGACGGAGTGAGACTCCAACTCAAAAAAAAAAAAAAAAAAAGCCGGGCTCGGTGGCTCAGCCTGTAATCCCACGCCTTTGGGAGGCTGAGGTGAGTGGATTGCCTGAGCCCGCGGGTTTGAAACCACCTGGGCAGCCTCATCTCTACAATAAATCAAAAAATCAGCCAGGCGTGGTAGCGCATGCCTGTAATTCTGGCTTCTCGGAAGGCTAAGGCGGAAGGATCGCCGGAGCCCAGCAGGTTGAAGCTGCAGTGGCCGGGAGCGGCCACTGCACTCCAGTCTGGACGACCGAGTGAGACTCCAACTCAAAAAAATTAATTAATTAATTAATTAATTTTAAAAACTAAGACTACACACTGACCTAAAGGCCAAACAGTGAAATATGCTCTTTTTCATAGTTTTTCATTTTGAAATGAGGAACTTGATGCTTCTTATCAACTGGGCAACTACCACACGAAGGTGGTAGTTCCATCTTGACAAAAAGAGCCCTTTTTAGGTTTGGTCAGGCCATATTTGGAGCTTAATCCAGCCTTGAACATGAGGGCGAATGTATCACCCGAATGTGCTGCGGTCACACAGACTGTTTTCCCAGGACAGTTCTGGAGTCTCTCCATTTGGACAACCTAGAAGGGTACTCAGGTTAGGAGCCCTCCTGACAAGGGACAGCCAGAAGGGAGCACCAGGGAAGCATCAAGCAAGACAGCTTTTCAAAAAGACACAGTGAAAGGCTTCTGCTCACTCACTTCGGTCTCTAAGAACCAGCGTTCTCTTTTCACGCTTCCCAGGCCCATGTGAGTTAGTCTTCACGACAGATGCTGTGAGGTCAGATGGGGGGTGAGGACTGTGGAAACCTGGGGAGGGCGTGCTGTGGAGCATGCTGCCCACAGGACCACAGGCTGCAGCAGAGGGCCTCGTGTGGTCGTATCTAAACAAAACACACACAGTAGATACATTATGGACACACCACCCCCACATGCTGCTCACACACCCCAGATATCAATGGCTCCCTTCTGCTCTACTTGCTGAGGTGGAGAAAGAGACCATCTTTCCAATATTTAAACTCTAACTTATCAATGAGTAACCGCTGCTGGGCAATTCAGCATAAGTGAGACATCTTCATTTGAGCGTCCCATGAGATGTGAGTTCTTGAAACTTGAGTGGAGACAGACATACTACCCCAGACCATTCAAAGAAAGCCTGGAAGTTCCAAACAGATGTTGAGCTGAAATCTGACGCCTAATTGATCCTGTGTTCTTTTGGGCAGGAGTCCCAAAGTGTTGAGGAAGGCCTGTGTAACAGCTGGAAGACGGGCCTCTCCCTGGCTCTCTCTCTGGGGTACCCACTTGCAGAGGGAGGGCAGGATAGGCCAACTTCCATCATCTCCCACTGCACAGAGAAAGGAGTAGAAGCTTTGCAGAACAGGAAAGAAAAAGATCAGCTCTTTGCTACAAAAGCATGAATAGGTTTTTGAAGTATTTTCCCATCCAGAGGGTACAAAACTTGCCAAAAGAAGACTCTGTATGCACATAAATGCTCCCTGCAGTAGTACTTGTGCCAAAAAACTAGAAGCCACTTAAGCATCTAATAGAGGAATAATTAATAAAATGATGCTACACTAACATTATGAGACACTATAAAATTACAGTTAGGAGATAAAGCAACAGCATAGGAAAAAAGCTTATGACATGTTATATGGGAAAAAGAGCAAGATATAAAATCCTATGTAAACTGTGAGTAAAATTGCATAACTATATATTCATAAGAATAAGGCCTGAAAATTAGTTTTGAAAAATTAAAAATTGTTTTAGGGCACTGAAATTGAGGTTTTAAACTTATCTGCCACACTTTTTATTAACTTTTAGATTAAAATATCCCCCATCAAGACCCATGCTCCAAATGAAGTCAGTGCAACAGCTGGAGCCCATCGTGGAGTCCTTGCCTGCACCGAGGTCCATAGGCACAGTAGCCCTTCTGATAGTACTTGCAGATGGTAGATGGCTTGCTGTTTGCCAAATCATGTGAGAACAGACACTGGCTTCCTTCCCGACACACACCATGCATAAAATACCTGAAGAGACAAGCACAGGCATAAAAAAACCTTTAGAAGTACACTTTGCGGGCAAACCCTTCAGGTTCCCTCCCACTTTGGGAGCTTTTCTGTCCTCTCAATAAATCTTGCTTCAAAAAAAAAGGGACACTTTGCTTTATAAAATCAACATATTCTTGAACCTAGCAAATACTTACCAACCATATATTATGTATCAAAGCTCTATTAGGCACTGAAGATATACACATTTCCTTAATTCTAAGACATGAGTTTAGAGGCACCATAATGACTCAGTGACAGCTTTTCTAGGAGAAAATAAATGATCTCTTAAGTTTCTATCTTTAATTATATCCTCCTGATGAGATATGTTAAATACTTAAAATGCGAGCCTCATAATTGAGGAAATACTCCATGAGAAACAGTTCTCTCCATTCTCCTGGAGCTTAAGGGATATGACTAATGGAGCTGGAGAGACCTGGGCTCAAGATCCAGCAGTCACTTATGAACAAGTCACAAAACCTACTTCCCTGGTCCTTAATCTTAAGATGAAGATTACATTACACTGAGCTGTGGCGAGATCAAACACCACAGTGTGCCATCAAAAGACATATACATATGCTCTTCAACTTATGACAGGGTTCTGTCCCAATAAAACCATCATTAACTTGAAAATACGTGAGTCAAAATGCATTTAACACACATAAATTACCAAACATCACAGTTTAATCTGGCCTACCTTAAATATGAACACTTACATTAGCCTACAATTGGGTTAAATCATCTAACACAAAGCCTGTTTTATAATAAAGACCTAAATCTTTAATGTAATTTATTGAATTCTATACTGAAAATGAAAAACAGAATGGTCATATGTGTACCCAAAGTACGCTTTTTACTGAATGCAACGCATATCACTTTCACATCATCATAAAGTCGAAATATCTTGAGCCAACCCTTCTTAAGTCAAAATCATTAAGTCAGAGACCTTCTGTATAAGAATGTTCCATTGAGATATTGAATCCTAGCCTCGAAGGAATACCTAGTATGAGAATAACTGGGAGGCATTCTAATTCTGTCCAGCTGGAGTAGAAGGAATTGGTTGAATACTCAGAGACTCCAGAGGAACAAGCCTTGGTATTAAGGATAAATTAGCCCTAGAGTAAGAGAGTATTAGAGATCTACCCTAATAATGCTTAAAAATAAGGTTTAAAAAGATCAAACTGACAGAAAGTACATAACTTACTATCAAAACAAACTTAAACTCTTTAAAGGAAGACAATAAAAATCAAATGTCCAGAAACACTCACAATGCTTGGAATCCAATAAAAAATTACTAGATATCCCCAAAAGCAGGAAAATGTGACCCACAGCCAGGAGAAAAATTAATCAATAATAGGAGTGACAGAGATGATGAAATCAGCAAACAAGGACCGTAAAACCTTATAAATATAAATTACCCAATTATAAATATGCTTAACATGCTAAAGGACTTCAAGGAAAATATGAATAATGTGGAAAAAACAACTGACTTTTGACAGAGGTGTCAAGATAATTAAGCAGGGGAAAGAATAGTCTCCAACAAATGATGCTGGACCTAATATCTATTTGGGGAAAAAAAAAGTGTCTGCTGACTCAAAATGAGTTATGGAACAACCTATAATGTATTCTAACCAGGCACATTTAACTTGAATCCAACAAAATTCCAGCTCTAACTTCCAGTTTATAGAAAATACAGAAGATTAGGAACAGCCTATAAGACACAAGAAAGCAACAAATAAATATAAAAGAAGCTGTAGGCTGAGCACTGTGGCTCATGCCTGTAACCCCAACACTTTGGGAGGCTCAGGCAGGAGGACTGCTTAAGCCCAGGAGTTTGAGACCAGCCTGAACATAGTGAGAACTTGTCTCTACAAAAATTTATTTTAAAAAATTAGCCAGGTATGGTGGTGTACCCATGTAGTCCCAGTCACTCAGGAGGGTGATACAGGAGGATCACTTGAGCCCAGGAGTTGGAGGCTGCAGTGAACCGTGATCATGCCACTGCACTCCAGCCTGTATAACAGAGTGAGATCCTGACTCCAAAAAAAAAAGCTGTATATGGAACCTAGGCCTGGTCTCTTTGTAAGTCCTATTTAAAAAAGGGGGGGGGGGGCTGAATTTGGGAAACAATTTGATAGTTCCTTAAAAATGTAAACATAAATCTACCATATGATCCAACAACTCCACTCCTAGGTAAGTACCCAAGAAAAAGAAAATAAATGTCTATAAATACCTGTTCATGAATGTACAAAGCAGCATAATCCATAAGAGTCAAGAAGTGGAAAAAACCCAAATGTCCGTCAACTGATGACAACATGTAATATATCCACATAATGGGCTATTATTTTGCCACAAAAAAGGAATGAAGTACTGATACATGCTATAATATGGATGGATCTTAAAAACATTATGCTAAGTTAGAGGAGCCTGACACAAAAGATCACATGTTGCTTGTTTCCATTTACATACAACGTCCAGAAAAGGCAAATCTACAGAAACAGAAAGTAGGTTGGCTAGGGCTGCCTGGGTGGGGGGGCGGGGGGAGCGGGGTACGCAGCAGCAGAGATTGACTACTAATGTGCACAAGGAATCTTTCTGGGGTGATGGAAATGCCCTAAAATTTAATTGTGGTGATGGATGCAACTTTGCAAATTTACTAAAAATTTTTGAATTGTACACTTTAAACAGGTAAATGTTATGGTAAGTTATGCCTTTAAAAAAAGCTGTTAAGAGCCGGGCTCGGTGGCTCAGCCTGTAATCCCGCACCTTTGGGAGGCAGAGGTGAGTGGATTGCCTGAGCCCACGGGTTCAAGACCTGCCTGGGCAGGCGAGACCTCATCTCTACAATAAATCAAAAAATTAGCCAGGCGTGGTAGCACGCGCCTGTAATTCCAGCTACTTGGAAGGCTGAGGCGGAAGGATCGCCGGAGCCCAGCAGGTCGAGGCTGCGGTGGCCGGGAGCGGCCACTGCACTCCAGTCTGGGCGACAGAGTGAGACTCCAACTCAAAAAAAAAAAAAAAGCTGTTAAAAAAGAAAAAAAGGAGGAAGCTATGCTAGTAGGCAGAACTCAGGGACATAATAAACAGATGTAATATTTACTCCTGGACTATAATCAGGTTATACCAAATTATAAACCAATGTGTGGACAAACCAGACGTAAAAGGCATTTTTTGGACAACTAGGGAAATCTGGGTATGGACTAAGTATTAGATAAAATGACGATGTATTGACATGGAAAGTTAAAGATTATTAACTGAAAAGAGCAGATTATAAAATAGCATATACAGTAAAATGGTGTAGCTACTATGGAAAGACAATGTGGAAGTTCCTCAAAAAATTAAAAATAGATTTACAATATGATCTAGTAATTCCACTTAGATATAGACACAAAAGAATTAAAAACAGGGACTCAAACAAATATTTGCACACTCGTGTTCACAACAGGATTACTCATGACAGCCGAAAGATGGCAGCAATCCAAGTGTCCACGGATGGATGAATGTGTAAACAAGATGTGATCTACACATACAATTTGCCTTAGAAAGAAAGGAAAATCTGGCACATGCTACTACATGGGTGAGCCTTCAGGACATTATGTTAAGTGAAATAAATCAGTCACAAAAAGACAAATACTGTATGATTCCACTTCTCCGAGGTACTTAGCTACATAGAGACAGAAAGTAGGAAGGTGGATGCCAGGGTCTAGGGATAGGAGAAATGGAAGCTTTTTAATAGGTATAGAGTTTCAGTTTGCAAGGCAGAGTTCTGGAGTCTACACAGTCACACAACAATGTGAACGTACACTACAGAACTATACACTTAAAATGGATAAGATGAGCCAGGCGCGGTGGCTCACGCCTGTAATTCCAGCACTTTGGGAGGCTGAGGCAAGAGGACTGCCTGAGCCCAGGGATTCAGGACCAGCCTGGGCAACTTGACGAGACCTCATCTCTACAATAAATCAAAAAATTAGCTGAGTGTGGTAGCATGTGCCTGTAATTCCAGCTATTTGAAAGGCTGGGGAGGAAGGATCACCTGAGCCCAGCAGGTTGCGGCTGCAGTGGCCGTGAGCATACCACTGCACTTCAGCCTGGGCAACAGAGTGAGACTCCAATTCAAAAAAAATAAAAATAAAAATACATAAATAAAAGACTACATGTTATTTATAATACTGATTTTTTTTTTTAGTTGGAGTTTGAGTTGAGCCCTCATGATCTGGCTATGACTCCTATCTACATCACTGTCATAATCTCAGCCTTGAGTATAGCTGCATCTTGGATCCTACTAGTCCTTCTAGACAATCTCTGGATGTAGAAGTAGTCTTGGGGATCCCCAACACAATAGTATATTATATCTAATTAGTTTGGTAATTCTTTTAGAGAAATGCTACTCAGTACTGCAATATTATTTCAATTGTTCTCAAATAAGATAATCTTTGATCTTTGAAAGTATACTAGTAAAAAAAAAAAAAAATCAGGCCAGGCACAGTGGCTTACACCTGTAATCCCAGCACTTCAGGAGGCTGAGGCAAGAGGACTGCTTGAGCCTAGGAGTTCAAGACCGACCAAGACAGCATAGAAAGACCTCATCTCTACAAAAAATAAAAAATAAGCCAGGTGTGGTGGCATGTGCCTGTAGTCCCCGCTGAGGATGAGGCGAAAGGATCACCTGAGCCTACGAGATCAAGGCTGTGGTGAGCCATGATTGTGCCACTGTACTCCAGCCTGGACTACAGAGAACGCGACAAAAAAAAAAAATTAGTGCCAAGAGCCAAGAGGTATCAGGATTGGTAAACTCACAAATACTGGAAGAAAACAGGTTCAAAGCTGCAATATAAAGTTACACAAAAGTAAGATCTAAACCGGGCTCAGTGGCTCAGCCTGTAATCCCGCGCCTTTGGGAGGCTGAGGTGAGTGGATTGCCTGAACCCGCGGGTTCGAGACCCGCCTGGGTAACTTGGCAAGAACTCATCTCTACAATAAATCA